AAAATGTTTCCTGGACATCATCCATGCTATTTTCTTTCTTCCTTTCACTTCATGTGCTTACCATTTCAAATCAAAACAGAGCAAAAGAAAGTACCGTGATTCAGTCAGCGAGGTAGCTAATGCAGTATTTGGCATCAGTAGACATCTTGATTTGCTGGTTGTTTATATAATCAGTTCAGAACATTTCATATTTGTTGGAATTGCAAAGATGATGAATTCCTATGGCTTACATTATAGTGCTGCTTGTTAACAGCAAGAGGAGTGATTCTCTTTCTCTTTTCCTTCTTTTTCTTTCTTTATACTAAAATATGTTTAGATTTAAGTTATTTCATTAAAAGAAAAACCTCTCCTCTAGATGGAAAAATATCGCTTGCTGAATATATTAGGAAAACAAGGCAAGATGTGAGAGGAAGGTGATGATCAGAGGGTAGGACGTTAGAGATGCTTCATGCATTCAGTTCAAACTACTAAACTATAATCAATAGTTCTTACCTTTGGTTAGAGATTATTTTAAGTCTTCTTAAGTTGTAATTAAAACACTTGCTCTTATTCTTTCTAGATACAGAGGAGATAATGTAATAGATTACTTTTTGTTTGTTTTAATTTGCTATAGGGCACATGTGCTTTCCAGGGATGGGGAAGGAGAGAGGAAGAGGGAGAGAGAGAATGAAAAAGCCTATTTCCTGCCTCCCCATGAGGCTGGGTCATACAGCAATCCCTCCTTCTTCATTTTCTTCTCGATTCTGGGCACACAGGCATACTTACCTAGTGTGTTTTTTAAACCACCTGGTCTGGGACTTGAACTGTGCTGTTGGCCACACAGGATACAGCCACCTTAACCATTATGACATCTACTGGCCCTAAGTTACTTAAACAACGATTTTAGTAATATATATAGCCTCTGTCAGTCATTTATTAATGTTAAGAATGAGGCATCTTGGAGCTTTCTGATCATAGACCATCTTTGATACTTGTTTTTGTTTTTGTTTGACAGAAGGCGTAACCCTTAATCTTTTCATTCTTTCAGTTTACTTTCATTGCCTAATGAAAGGTATCTGGCAGAATACCTAGACAATAGTGATTAAAAATTAAACTTTTTTTTTTTTTTTTCCATTTGGCCCTTCCAACACATACAAATAGGTAGACCTGCTTATTATTTTTTTTTTCAAAATAATTTTTGGATTGGCTTGCAAACACTGAATACCAATGCCTATCTTTATTTCTAGCTATTGATAAATGTAGCATAGAAAACATTAGTTATAAAACAGATCAATAGACTTTTAGGTATATTTGGGGTTGGTAGGCAGCATGGTGGTTAACGATACTGGACTCCCACATGACTGACTGCGGTTCAAGTCCCAAACCTGGTGGCTTGCTTTCTCATTTTTTCACTTTTGCTCTGACCCTCTCTGGTCAAGTCAAATCAATGAGTCTGTCTATCTCTTTATTAACATTAGTTATAAAACAGATCAATAGACTTTTAGGTATATTTGGGGTTGGTAGGCAGCATGGTGGTTAACGATACTGGACTCCCACATGACTGACTGCGGTTCAAGTCCCAAACCTGGTGGCTTGCTTTCTCATTTTTTCACTTTTGCTCTGACCCTCTCTGGTCAAGTCAAATCAATGAGTCTGTCTATCTCTTTATTAACCTAAATAAGCAAAGTAAGTAAGTTAAATTTTTTTAAAAAGAATTTTATATATATTTAAGATATGTAATTTTGGCATACCAGAACAGCGAAAGGCTTTAAGATTGCACATCAGGGACCAGCAGTTAGCGTAATGGCTATGTTGCTAAACTCCCATGTATTCTACCACGGTTTGAGTCCTGGACCTGGTGACTTAAACTCACGCTGGGCGTGTGTGTGTGAGTGCTTGAGATCCCAAGAGGAGATTGGAGGAGAAGGGATTGCTGTGTGACCATCCCCCCTGGGGGGTGATTTTTTGCTTTCTGTTTCTCTGTCTCTCTCCGTCTTTCTGGCAAGCGCACGCGCCCTATAGCAAAAATATACTGCTCCAAATAAAGAATGCACATCACAGCTCTGTTTTGTTCAGTCTTTACCTATAATGCTTTTTTACCTCACCCTCTAAGCTGACTATCACTCAGCCGTCTTTGGAAGGTTTTCTCAGAAGCCCTCTTTTCTAGGAAGCCTTCCTTGGCACCCCCAACCCTCACCTCCAACAGGCACCCCTTCTCCATGGTTAATTAATCTCACTCTATCTCTAGGAAATTGTTCTTTGTTTGTTTGTAGGCTTTTACCATAAGGCACATGTGCTCACCAGAGAGACACAGAGAGAGAGACAGAGAGAAAGAAAGTGAGAAATCAGCCCCCAGTGGGCATGGCCATGCCACAATCCCTTCTCTTTCTATTCTCTTCCCAGGATTTTGGGCATGCACATATACTTGTCTGGCATGATTTCCAAGCCTCTGGGTGCAGGATGTGAACCATGCTCAGCCATGTAGGAATCCAGCACCTTAACCACTACACCACCTGCTGGTCCCTCTGTCATAGCTCTTATCACATAGTTAACATTTGATAAATATGAGCTCTTAAAGCAAATCTGGACATATTCTATGATTTTGCTTTATCTTTGACAGAATAAACTGTACAATAATAAGATACAATATTTCAGTCTTGAATACTAATTTCAATGCACCATTCATACTCCTTTTTTGCTTTTGATTCTAAATAACATTCCTTTTTAAATGTTAATTATTTTTAGTTTGCTATACGATGTGTGCACTCACTAGAGAGAGACAGAGAGGAAAAGTGAGAAACCACACCCCAAGGGAGATGGCCACGTCACAATCCTTTTTCCTTCATTCTCCCTTTGGGCTTTTGGGCATGCATGTGCACATACCTGGTGTGATTTTCAGGTTGCAAAGTTCAGGACTTGAGTCATGCACTTGGCCATGTGGGATCCAGCCACCCTAACCTCTATGCCCCTGCTGATCCCTAACATTCCTTTTAAAAGCAAATATTTGTAACTTTTAAAAATAAGCATCATGTTGGAATAATATATTGTCATAAACTGTGGAAACATGAACTCATGTGAAATCAAATATATAAAGAGTTAGGAGTAATATTATATAATGTTATTTTATCATGTCAGTTTGTGAATATATAACCAATATGACAAGATTGTTGTTATTCCTGGTGAAAGTGTGATTTAGGAAAATTATTATTTTTGTATGCCTTGTTCAGTTAAAAAGACAAGAATACCAATTTTAAGCATTTTTAAATGTTTTCCCCAGAATTGTTGGTAGCAGCAGCAATGAAAAATGTTTACCTATGTTTTCTTTTTCTTGATTCCCAGAAGGTGCGTGCATTCTTCAGAGAGAGAGAGAGAGAGAGAAAGCACCGCCACCCGTGGCCCAAAATGAAAAAGCGATTCTTTTTCCTCCATTTCTTCTTCCTGTCAGGATTTTGGGCACAGACACATGTCTGGCATGGCTTTTTTTTTTTTTTTTTTTTTTTTGGGGGGTTTTTTTTTAGTGCACATTTTCTTTCTACAGCATAGACAGAGACAGACAGCAGACAGAGAGACAGAAAGCGGCGAGAAATCACCCCCCAGGGGGAATGGCCACACCGCAATCCCTTTCTCCTCCATTCTCCTCTCGGGATCTTGGGCACATACGCACACACGCCTGGTGTGAATTTAAGCCACTGGATCCAGGACTTGAACCGTGGTCGACTATGTGGGAGTCCAGCGACATAGCCATTACGCTAACTGCTGGTCCCCCTGGCATGGCTTTTGAAGCACTAAGGCCAGAATTCAAAATGTGGTTGAACATGTGGGATCCAGCTCCCACTGCACTTAACCAACTGTACTTCAGGGCCAGCCCATTTATGTGGGTATACTTTTTTTTCTTTCATTTAATTTTTTTTTAAAGAATTATTATATTTAACTTACTTACTTATTTAAATTTGACCAGAGAGGACAGAGCAAGAGAGAGGGAAAGTGTGAAAGCAAGCCAACAGGTCTGGGACTTGAACCGTGGTTAGCCATGTGGGAGTCCAGCATCCTGAACCATCATGCCACCTGCCAGCCCCCATTTAATCTTTTACTATAACAAGGACTAAGAATTTTAGCAGCAATGCTATAAAGAAAAGAAATTATATTTCTCTGAGATTACTCAGTAGACTCAGCTATCTTGACAGAATAAATTTTAAATATTTTAACATTTTTCTTCAAGAGTTCCATATTTGGTCTCTTTTAAGAGAAATAAATTTTGGACTGGCTCCAGAGCCTGGTAGTAGCCAGATCCCACATGACCAACTGCTGGTTCAAGTCCCAGACCCAGCAACATGAGAAATATGTCAGGTATATGTGCATGCATGCCCCATATCCCCAAAGTGGGAGAGATGGAGGAGACAGGTTTGCTTGTATGACCATTTCCCATGAGGGGTGCTTTCTCCTCTTATCTTTTTTATGTCTCTCTCTGGAGAGCACGTGTAGCCTCTAACAAAAAGCAGAGAGAGAGACAGCAAGAAAATAAATATCTACAAATTATAGATTTAGAATAAATGCTTTCATTTTTTCTGTCTTTAAATACTCTTTTCTACCCTCCCTGCCTTCCTCACCTTCTCTTTAACTTCCTCACTAAATTTCTGCCTAAAGACAAATAGTTGGAATAAAAGTGCCACAGTAAGATACTTTGTATCAAATTTGTAAGCCAGAAAATAATATCTGGAAAAGTCTGAAACATCTCTTTTGAACTAGGAATACCATTATGATGTGATTGGAGTGCGTGTGTGTGTGTGTGTGTGTGTGTGTGTGTGTGTGTGTTACAAGACTCCAGTTAGGCAAAATCTCAAGCTTGGCAGTATGGATCTAATTGTATTATATTGTAAAATATAGCCTGAATGGACTTTATTGTATATTTAGGGCAAGGAAATAATTATATGGTCTAAAAATAGAGCTCACATACATTTTATACCTTAGTGACTAGCTGAAACGAATTGCTTGCTAATAGACGGTAATATTTCATTGGCTAGGTACGAAAAGAGTATGGGAAGTGCCTGCGCACGCATTGCTGCAGCGGCAAAAGTACAGAGAGTTCCATTGGCTCAGGGAAAACGTCTGGTTCTCGAACTCCTGGACGCTACTCCACAGGCTCGCAGGTAAATGCCATTGTCCGTTGACAGTAAATACTACATTCTGTTGCAAGTTACTGTCCTTTCTGGTTGGTGCTAGTTTGTGTTGTTTTTCTTTCTGCGTTTACTCACAAGAGCGTGCGTGTGCATGCGGTGAGTGGGTGCGTGAGAGGGTGAGAAAGAGAAGAGCACACCCTACAGGGTCGGGCTGTGCCTGCTCCTGCCGGACACATGCTGGCCCAGCACACACAGGGAGCCCGTGGATGCTGACCTAGTACCCTCAACCACGTGGCAATGATTCAGACAGCAAAGAAACCAACATCTTCATCAGATAGGAAATGTAGGGTCTAAACCTGTGTCATAATTAGTGACGTCAGATTGTTTCTAGTTGAATGAGGATAGCAAGTAAAGAAAGGAGTTTGCTATTTCACTCTAATTTCAAAGAAAGTAATCTTATATATTTATGTGTATATATATATATATATATAGGGTTGTTGTTATA